TGTTTTGTTATATGTAATTTTACCATGTTAAAGTTAAAACCTTCCTTTTTAAAAAAAGAAAAAAAGGGGAAGTGCTGTGGATATTACTCTATATAAATAAAACACTGATGGCCAGTGACCAGGCAGGAAGTAGGTTGCCAGGCAGGAAGTAGGTGGGACAAGGAGAGAGGAGAATTCTGGGAAGCGAAGGGCTGAGGGGGGAGACACTGCAGCCACTGCCAGGACAAGCAGCATGTGAAGACGCTGGTAAGCCACCAGCCACGTGGCAAGGTATAGATTTATAAAAATGGGTTAATTTAAGATAAAAGAACAGTTAGCAGGAAGCCTGCCATGGCCATACAGTTTATAAGTGATATAAGCGTCTGAGTGATTATTTTATAAGTGGATTGTGGAACTGCGGGGCTTGGGGAACCTGGAGAGAAGCCCTCCAGCAACACAGAAGGGTGATGATTAATCATCTTCTCTCACTACTTTCATACTAATGATGGGCATAGTCCTGCCTAAGAGGCGCTGTAAGACTCTTCTGTTTTATTTGTTGGGTGGAGAGGAGGTGTTGGGTTTTCAGTCATAGGAATTGGCTGGGAACCCTGTTTCATGGGGGTTCAGTAAGAATAGCATGATTTATGCCAATTGACGGCTTTAGGAAGGGTGAGATATGGAAAATCATGGACGTGTTTGTTTCAGTAGGTCATCCTTCTAGCTTGCCCTTGAGGTGTGGTCCTTTGGACAGTTATATATTATGTGGAGAGATACAAAGAACAATTTGAGGGAATCTGATAGTAGGATAGATTTTAAATTTTTATGTATTTATGTATTTATTTGTGTGTGTGTGTGTGTGTGTACACATGCACTTATGTGAATTTATGTGTACCACTTATGTTCAGAATCCTGAAGAGGCTAGAAGAGGGCATTGGGTCTCCTGGAGCTGGAGTCACATGTGGTTGTGAGCCAGCTGATGTGAGTGCTGGGAACCAAACTGGGGTCCTCTGCAAGAGCAGTAAGAACTATTGACTGTAAGCCATCTCACCAGCCCCAGTGGATTATATTTAAAAGAAAAATAATGCTTTAATTACTGATTGGTCTAGATAATAGATTTTCTCCTTCTTTCCTTCCCCCAGCCCCCCACAAGGTTTCTCTCTGTAACAGTCCTGGCTGTCCTGGAATTCACTTTTGTAGACTAAGCTGGCCTTGAACTCACAGAG